TGCTTAGATCAAGTTGATGCCTTTCTTATCAGCAGTAACAAAATAAAAGAAGAAAATATGCTTTAATTTGAATAAATGCAGAACATTCTGGATGACCCAATACTTTGATAAATAAAAGATTTTCTACCCAAGATTTTCTCAGTACAAAAGTGAAAGAAAATTACAAAATGAAATTAGCCAAAGAATGTAAAATTTAGAATACCTAATTAAATGCTAATGTATTTTACATCAAAATCATGTTATAAATAGTTCAATAATTTGAACCATGCATTATAAAGTTATGTAAACTTGGAGTTTTTAATAATATTTTTGTGCAGCATTAAATTCTCTAAAAAACTCTTTTGTTCATATTTCAAACGTGGCAGCTATGATATGCTTTTCTATGCTTATTACACTTTTTTAGCTTTTCCCACTTGTTTGATATGTGTTTATATCATATCAAAATAATGAGATGCCAACTTGATAATGAGAATAACCTTTACTGGCCCAAATGAAAGAATAGCATGGACTTTGTGAAGTAAGAAGAGCAGCCAGAGGAATAGTTACTCATCCAGCGTGCAAAAGAATACTAAGATTCCCTTTCAGTGTAGTTAGTCAACATGGTTAACATGAAGATCCAAATAATCCCAAAATGATCATTGGAATAAATATTGATTTATTTATTGGTTTAGTTTGTTGACAAAGGCAAGCCGTACTGCTTCTTATTCCATTATTTATTTAAAAAGGTCACTAGCTTGACTTCTGGATAACAATTTCACTTGTTGATGTTTTCCAGTTGATGAAGTTATTTTGCCCCATGATGATGTTGAGAGCTACTAGCTGCACCACAATTTATTCTTTGTACATTCTGACTATGTAAGCATGAGAACAATGCAAAAAATTTGCAGTTTCAAAGGTAGTACCATCCTAAACTCAGTAATCTAAGATCATAGTCTGTATTTTCATTTGAAATTTAAGTCCAGCAGGGGCCGAGCGGTAAAGTCGCTGAACACTGAAAGTTCGGTCCGAGGTTTGAATTTTCGCGAACAGGCTGGCTGCATGGGCGTTTTCATGATTTTCCCCATGTGTAGCGTGTATACGAGCCAGTTTCCTTTAGAAAGTCCTCTACGAAAGCATTCCTTCCCATAGGCAGATAGCCCTCGAGGCTTTGCCATAATCACACACTCTTTCGAAATTTCACTCGTGTTTATGCATCTTGTCCTTCAATGTAAACTTATTCATCTTAATGTTGACCTGTTCACTTGTTATGTATGATTTCCTACAGCAAACTTTTTCTTTATCTATATGTTTACATTCATTTATTTATTAGTAATAATTATTAGTACAGTACAAAGTCCATAATCCGGACTCGTCAGGACTTCGGCAATTCCGGATTAGAATTTTTTCCGGATTACATATCATCAATTAAAATCTGGTAAAATGGCATGCAGAAATTATACAGTTAAAAATATGAAATAAAGAGTTATGATCTAAAGGGTGTCAAAATTTAAATAAAAAAAGCTTAATATTTATGTGTTTACTTTATTAAACATTTCTTTCAATGTAAGTTGTTTAAGTTGCTTCGTTTTTTGTGCTAATACTTTCTCTTTAATTTTTTAAGAAGACATAATTTCTTGTTCAGTTACAAAGTTCCACTGTTCAGGTCCTGTAATTGTTGTGTCGAGAATACCAACTAACTTGTCAATTCAAATTTTTTCGTTTTCAATAACGTCTCTGTCAGTTTTTTCACTATTGGAAGTGGTATTTTCTGGATCTAGAACCATACTAATTAATACTAACCATTGATTGATTGATGATTTGGGCATTGTTGTCGCAATGAAAAACTTCTGTTATATCATCTTCATTTGTTACCGCTTCTCCGCATTTCTTTAGAAAATCCAAAAACCTTCAAATTCGCGGCTATCATCTTTATCGTCCTCACCATGAAATATGGTAGCTGGCCATAAATTATGCCAAGCATTTTTATGTATCTGGAGACACATACTCCCACAATCATACAATGCTCCACACAGCATATTTTATGCTAAAAAATTTCAAAAAGTCTTGAATAGTCTTGCCATTGTTCAAGAAATTTAACACAGATTTAAAAAATGCTACGTTATATTTGCATTTCAGCGCATGCACTATTCTGATATCCATAGGCTGAATTATAGACATACAATTTAGATGGAAGAATAATACGGATACATTACGTTTCACTAAAACTTTAAGTGAAGTATGTGCCAAACATCTGTCAGAACATTCTAACACACTTAACGGAAGAAATATCTTTATTGTGTGTTAGAAAAGGATTTAATCATGGGTTAGTGAAATCATAGGTATCGTAGCTTAGGTCAAGTCAATAGAATCTTCTTGCATCTGTACCTGAACAATTACGTATAATGCGCAAAGTATCCGAATAACGGCCATTAGCTGCATCGCCGAGCCTCGGGTATAAAATGATTTTCAAACCAATCATTCATCCATGCTCTTTTATTTGCACGATATAAAACGGGAAAAATCGTTACTCCTTTAAATGCTCAAGGTCATGCATGTTTTCCGATTACAAAAAGTTTGCACTTGTGCGTTCTTGCAGTATTGCGCATGCTAAAATTGTTAGTCTCTCTTTGGAATCTTTGACACCGGTTGAAGCCTTTTCTGTAGAGGTTGCCAAGGTATTTTGTGGTACATATTGCCAGAAAAGACCAGTTTCGTCTGCGTTGTAAATTTGTTCTGGAGATAATTGTTCACTAGTAATGAGTTCAATGAATTCATCTGCAAATTGTTCAGCAGTTTCAGTATCAGCTGAAGCTTTCTCACCTGAAATTTTTAATTGTCTTATACTATGGCGATTTTTTAATTTGGTTAACCAATGTGTCGAATATGTGCACTCAGTGTTTAAGTTCATTTCTTCATGAAATATTTTGGCTTGAGCCATTAGGATTGGACCTGTCAATGGCATGCCCTCGCTGGGACGCTGTCTGACCCATTCAATCATCACTTTGTCATGATCGCCACTTTTAGCATAACGAACCCTTTTTGTGCTATTCATTGCAAGTAGGGTGTCGGAATTCACAAAAAAAATCGAAAAGTTCCTTTTTCTTTTTGCTCATGTCGTATACAGTTGATTTTCCAATGTTATACTCCTCGCATAATTTTGAGACTAATATGCCTTTATCTGTTTTTTGCAGCAATTCCACTTTTTGTTTGATGGACATTGAAACATGTTTTCGCTTTGTAAATCCTTTGGCAGCTGTAGAATCGGAAACTCTTTTTGACATAATCAAAATTTCAAGCTTAATTTTTATAAAATTGCTCTAACAATCTGCAAAAAATAATAAGCCGGATCCAATTAGAAGATTAAGGTACAGCACAATCTGCAACATTAACTGAAATGCCTTAGAATCAGTAAAGATAATTTTAGCCTAGCTTATACCGCCCGATATACATTAAACACACATGCGTAAAGCATACAAAAAAAAAAAAAGTTTGTGACTTTGAGGTTCAGATTATAGATTATTCCAGATAATGGAAGTCTGGATTACAGACTTTGTACTGTAGCTGAAAAATCTAAATTTCAAGGTTTCTTTAATTTTTTTCCAAATTTAAGATATAAGAAGAACAAAAATTTTAATTTAGCGATTTGTTAAAATGTTGAGCTGTAGTTGGGCAATTTTTGTAATTTCCAATTAATGTCATGATCTAAGAATGTGTTACAAAAGAAAGATTAACATGATGGTTGCAATTATAGCTTGATTAAATCTGAAAGTTCTGATGTTTTACAAAGTGGAAGTTCCGAGGAGTGCATAAGGCTGCATGAAAATATAATATAAACAGATGATATTATTATTTTATATGTCAGCATCATATCATGGCAAAACGTAACAGGATATAACTATGATAAGTTGAATGTGGATAATGATTAGTAGATGGAAATACGTATTGGCATCTGTTTGGAATACCAAGATAAAACACTGAAGACTGTGATTCAGCTAGTGCACTATTGTCCTCACAGTCTATAGCTAGTGACACTCTACAGTGTATATAGAAAAATGCAAGAACATTGATCTATACATAGACAATTTCTTCCCAACTCACTAGGACTGCTTTGGAGTTGAACTAACCTTTGCAAAACTGTCTCAACATTAAACCATTGTCAGGTCTGCTTGCAGTGATATTGTACCTAAGCTTCTTGAGATGATGAATTTAACATCTTAATCTCTTTTATTAAAGATGATCACCAATTGAAAACGTGGGATCAATTTGGAAATTTAGACTGATCTTTCATTTTCTAATTAATGTCTTACAGCGTGTTATTGTGGAGTGACAATTTGAGAGTGCCATCAGTTTCAGTAACTGAATACCTCTAGTGTGCCAAAAGATACAATGGTTGCATACCGATGTGTAGCTAAGGTACAGCAACAAACAATATTGATTTTATCTTCTAGCCATACCATAGATTTTCTTGCAGGACTTGACTTTCTTGTGTCACACACAACTGACCTCATCAAGCATCATTTGCAAAATGTTTGGTCAGCACCATCTCCAGGTCTCACCAATAAAAAGTCTGTGGGACACAGTTTGTTATCATGTGAATTCATTTGTGGTGAGGGTGAACTTTAGATTTTTGTCAGCATCCTAGAACAATTGAGCACTTATCAATGCCATACATTCTTAGAGCATTTCCTGATTAAAAGAATGTTATAAAAATTTCTAAGGGTTACATTTGACATATCCTTTAGAACACATTTTTTATCTTACAAAATTGTGCTGTACTTATTGCTTGCCGCGTAAATTTAGTTGCTGAACTCGTGTAATTTTTAAAATTAATATACCCTGCTTCCTTCAGAATATTTCTTTTTGTCAAGGAGCTAGGTTTTGTATCATTTGATGTTTTTTTTTTTAAACAGTATATCATGAATGCAATTATGTACTGCAAGCAATAATTTGCATTAATAAATTATATATGAATTATAAAAGTACTTTTTTTATAGTTTCACCCTTTTTATTTTATACTTCAGGAAAAAAGAAGAGATTTCTTTTCGTTGAAAAAACACAAAAAAATTTTACAAGGTGTAGAGCTTCAAATAATGCCAAAAGTGCCTCAATTGTCAGATAGCGAGTTAAAAACATTTATTGAATCGGAGGTAAGTAAAAATATTAAATATTGTTTAATAAATTATCAGTATTCATGGAAGAGCAGTTACCATTAATTTTCCATTCATTTGTGCTTGTTCATAGAGATTTTTAATTATATTGTAAAATTGTATAATTTGTGTAAACTTCCATAAAATGTTTGCATACATAATCATTATTTCATATTGTTTTATCGAAAATATCCTGTAATTTTAAACTCTTAGTTCTGTTAGACCTGAAAATACTACATTTAATAATTTGGTAACAGAGATTGATGAATTTCTGAATTAAGTCATCTAGCTCATCATTATAATATGTTAGAAATAGTAGAATTTCGTACATTATAATGAAATGGAATTTGTAATCAGGTTTTTCTGAAAGTTAGATTGTTACATAGTTGAATACTTTTGTCTGTTTGTTTCATTAAGGACAAAAATGCTTTATTTTTCATGTAATTTTAGTTAAATTTAAGTGTTAATTAAGTTTTAGTTTAATTTTAGTTAATAATTAAAAGTCGTAATTCTTAGAGCATTTCGTGATTAAAAGAATGTTATAAAAATTTCTAAGGGTTATATTTGACATATCCTTTAGAACACATGATAATCAAAAAAAAAACTAAAACTTAGTGCCACACTACAAGCCTCACACATGATAATCTCTTTTGTAAAATTTCTTTATTGATTTCATGTAAATATTTTTACCCCTTTTATTACACATACACACTTATTCTCATTTAGAATTTAGTAACTAAAATCTCTTACTCATATTCTGCAAATCACTTTATATGTAGAGAATGTGTTTTATTTGGAAGTTTCTGTGGGCAGTATATATTTTCTTATTTATCCTATCATTCAGAATAATGAAATATAAAAAGTAATTCTAAAATATGAGCACATTTTATGAAGCACAATTTTTTTTAACTATTGTACTTTTCCATTTGCTGCATTTTTATGAAATTGAATTGTGCTTTTGTAGCAAAGAATGATTCATCAAGATCGATGCGAAGAAAGAAGAATTAATGCTAAGAATTCTGTTGAAGAATATGTGTATGAAATGCGAGATCATCTCTCTAATCAACTTAAACCATATACTGATGAGCAGGTGCTGATATTTAACTTAATAAACTTTTTTTAAGTGATGTTATTTAACATAATATGCTTTGGTAGGACAGCATGTCAGCACAGTGCAGCATGTCAAATGCTTTTCCATAGCCCCCCCTTTTTTTAGTGAATGTGTGTGTGTGAGAGAGAGAGCCTTTTTCTGCTGAATATTTAGTAATTTACATTTATGAAATTATCCTAAAATTTCAACAATATTCAGTGCTTGTTTGCAGGTATTTTAGTGGCAAAGAGTATTTGTATTTCAGGTTGTCAAATTTTTGTGTATACTTTTCTTTGCTGCTAAACATTCCTAAGAGTTTTCTCATACCCTTTTCTAAGGGTATTTATTATCTGAACTGAATGTGTAGTTCAATAAATATCTTCAGAACAGTATTAGGATTAAGTTTACTAGTATTACCTCTGCAAAATTACTCACTAAAATAATTTTCTGTTTGGAAAACTAATTTGTATTATTGTTTTATATTTATTTAGGCAATTCATTACAAATGCATGCATTTATACTCTGAATTGATTGTTAAAAATTGTAATATTTATTTTCAAATTTTATAATCAGTGTCTGGATTGCTTAATTGTATCTCAGAAGTCTGTGTTTTCCTACTGTTTGCTATCTGAAATCAAATGGAAATGAAAGAAAAACCTTGTAACAGAGCAATAGGTATAAATAGATAATTTATTAGAGCTTCTCTTGTGATTAGTGTACTAACATTTAATCTTCTAAGGTCAGCTTGAAACACTCTGTTTTAGACTTCAGTACTGCACAGTCAGAAACGTTTTTCTGCATCCTTCTCTTGTATGATTTTGTAATTGTAACGAATGGTTCGTTTTCGAACATGCCTCCATCACAAAGGTAGTAAAATTTGCATGGTTGACAGATGCTGCACTGTGCTGTTGGTTAGGTTGCTAATTTCTTTAGTCTAAAACCTCATTTATATATTTCAATATATAAATTGTAAATGTCTCAATGCAGTAGACACTTTTTTTAGCTAAAATAAATAATGTGCTCTCATTTTTTCCTCTTCTCTAAACTGTGCATTTTGGAAGATATAAATGTTATTTATGCTGTTAATAGCAAATTTAGACATCATAGAAAAAGGAATATCAATTATGGTGTTTTTCCTTAGACCCAAAGCTAAAACCCCTATTATTCTGTAATTCTGCATAAGCAGGGAATGACATTCGTTAATGTAAGGGTAATGAATATTATTCCCGGACATCTGAAAGAATCATTTAAACAATTTATGATAATTATAGTTTTCTTTAACTGAAACACTTCTTTCATTTGAATAATTACACATTAATTCTTAGTAATTTTCAGATATACATCTATTGCATCAGATAGCAAAGTAGTTTAAAATTTTTTCAAAAGTTTTCATTTAAAATTTTCCTTTTTTTCTACCTATCTGTAATAAATAAATAAATAAAAATTAAAATACCTAGTATTTCAAATTTTGGAAGTTAAATTCGAGACTCCATATTCAGAACAAAATAATTGAACATTTCAGATAAGCAATAATTAGCAAAGCATAGAATGATAAAATTTTGTATATCAAATTATTTAGAATGACAGAAATCCTAAGTATCACTTGTCTGCTTAATTTTTCATTTAATTTTAAATGAGGAAGTCTCACTAATTTTTATGCTTCCAAAATCTGCTATACTTAGCATGTTTACTTATATTTATTTGCTTATTTTTTCATCTTTTTCATTTTTTATTCCTCTGTACAGTATTTACTAAGACCCCTGCTTTGCTATTTTTTGTTCTAAAATTTAGTAGAATTGTATAATCAAGTATATGAATGAATGAAATTACACAATGAGAGAAAGAAATTTAATTGTCTTATTGTATAGAATATTTATACTGTTTAAATGCTAAATAAACTACACACATATGTTAATTATCTTAGATATAATTTGTATATCTCCCACTAATTATGATGGCCATGTCTAGTTGAATGATTCCATTTAAGTTTGCGTCTGCTGTACGGGTTATGGTTAATGTTAGGTTAATTGATTAAAGCATAGCAACTCAAGGGCTGTTTGCCTATGTGAAGGAAAACCTTCATGTATGGTGTTTAAGGGAAACTATCTCAAGTCCATATTATACATGAAGAAAACTTCCATTCGGCCATCCTTTTCGCCTGGATTCGAACCAGGTAGAACTTCCAGCGTTCAGCGATTTTACCACTAAGCCACTCGTGAGCTCTATCCTAGTTAATTGTGTGTATGAAAGAAAATAAGTATTAATTTATCATTAATTTTTTGTACTTTTTTCTGCATATATGAATAAAGTGTTGTATTTAATTAGGTAGCTTGTCTTTCATTCTAATCAGAATTCTGCTTTCATCAAATATTCACCTGCATTTTTATTTATTAAAATTTATCCTAAAATGTAAAACGGAGTTATATTTTCTAGCAAATGCAGTGCATATATATATATGTCCGCATAAAAAAATGGAACTAATAAGCAAATAAGTTTATGCTTCTAGAAAATGCAATATTTTGAAAGAAAAGGTAAAAACAAAACATAAATTGAAGGAGTCAAATTCTTGTCACATTTTTTTAATGTGCAAAGAATAATTCCATAAATCTAGAATATTTAATGTATAAGCCTTTATATAGATTTGTTTTTTTTGCTTAAGTATGTATGGACATGGTTGTATTAAAATAATTTATCTCTTCACCTATCATCTTTTATATTAAAAACTATATACAATCTTTTATGTTATAAATATTATCTTAAGGTTTGGCTACAAGTGGGGCATTTATTCTCTTTTTTTTTTTTTTTTTTTTTTTGATAAATTTTAAAAATGCCCATGTTTTTCTTATTTATATAAGATGATGAATTCTGTTAATACATTACTTTTTAGCATAATTTTGTTTAAAGTTTGTATTTTATTTTTAAGGAGTGCATTGATTTTAAGCATAAACTTGGTTATGTGGAAAATTGGATCTATGAAGATGGTGAAAATCAAAATGAAGCTGTTTATGAAGAAAAATTATCTGAATTGAAAGTAAATTTCATATACTATTTAAAGCAAAATTCCATTTTTAGTTTATATGCTAACATATGTTTCTTCACATGTAACTTTTAGCATTTTAATTATGAATTCTATTTTTAAAAATAATTAGAGGAAAGTATCTTATAATTTTTTTCATCCTTTATATTTATTTTTAGTAAATCTGAATAATAAAAACATCTAAAATTTAATTGGAGCAGTGTTAATTCAGACTTTATTGATCCTGCTGATATATTATTATTTCTGCTGCAACAAATGTCTTGTATTTCATATAGCTGTATCAGAGAAGCACTGTTAAATGCATATTAATACTGAACATATAATTAAACCTTTCCTTTTGAAATCAGTTTCAAATTATGATATGATAATATTCTATTTATTTTTTATTTGATTGTAAATACATTTTGTATTATTTTAGTCAATGGCTGAACCTATCTTGAGAAGAAAATATGAATGTGAACATAGAACACCTGCTATAGAAGAATTTCAGAATCTGATCTCTGAAGCTCAAAACATTTTAAGTTCTTACTTATCTCCTGATTCTCCATATTCTCATATTGATCCTAGAGATATGGAAATGGTAAGATGAAATTTTGCTTTGTGCATGTGCATTTAAAAACATGCTCTCTTCCATTCTGTACAAATAAATGTAGGAATAGTAAAAAATTCTCCTAGATTTGGAGTCAAAGCCATTGAAGACCAAGAAGTCCATGATTCAGTTTTCAACTGAAATCCCCTTCCTTCATGTTGACTGAAATGGTTAATATGAGTTCCTTCAAATTTGTTTTAACATAATTTATTTATTTGTGAGTTAGATTATCAATACAGTCAAAAGTCTTTAATCCGGACTCGTCGGGACTTCGGCGATTCCGGATTATCGATTTTTCCGGATTATAGATCATCAGTTTAAATCTGGCAAGATAGCATGCAGTAATTATAAAATTAAAATATGAAACCGTAATTTATAAAATAATGAGCAATTATGAATCTAAAGGGTATCAAAATTTACAAAAAAAAAAAAAAAAAAAAGCTTAATATTTATTTGTTTACTTTATTAAACATTTCTTTAAACGCGCGCATGCTTACCTTACGCATAGCCGAAATTAGAAAATTGCAACCAGAAAACTATTTGATTTGTATTCGTGATATTTATAATGACGAGGAATTTGATTTAAATCATATCAAAGACGGAGTACATCGAGATTAAATACTACATTTAATAAGGAATTATAAGCCGAATAAAATAAAAACATCTGCTCTGAAGATAACGATAGTGGTGACAGATCAACTTCCAGTTCATTGCCGGTCGCGACGTCCCCCCCCCACGCAGAACAGCGTGAAATTGATAAACAGATTTCAGAACGGTTAGATAAACAAAGGATATACCTTTATCCATTTTTTTGTACAGCAATTCCACTTTTTGTTGTTTGATGGACATCGAACATACTTTCGTTTTCTAGATCCTTTGGGAGCTCCATCATCGGAAATTCTATTTGACATAATCGAAAGTTCAAGCTTACTTTTATAAAATTTGCTCTTACAGTCTGCAAAAAATAATAAGCCTGATCCAATTCGAAGATTAAGGAACAACGCAATCATCACATTAACTGAAATAGATATTAGATAATTTTAGCTCATGCCGTCCGTTCGCGAAAACGTATTCTGCACTTGCGCAGACGCATGTGCGCAGTCGTAAATGTCGGACAGCCGTAAAACGCCTATGAGCATGCGTCAACGCGGCGCATGCGCAGAAAGATTTTAGCTTTGAGGTCCGGATTATGGGTGTCCGAATAAACGACTTTTGACTGTATAAGGCCAAGAACAATAGTACTTCATAATTTTGTCATGATCATTTAAAAATTTAAGGTCAATAAATTTGATTTATAGAATTTTAGGTTAACCAAATATTTCCCACAATATGTTTAGTTTAAAATTGGGCAAGGTTTAGCCTTAGTGTGTAGAATTATGTTACAATGTATAAATTTGTAATTGTGTAATATCTGTCTTTCGAATTATGTACATTAAAAAACAAAAAATAATAATAATAAAACATTAAGTCCATTGAAGAGAAATGTGTATATATAATACATATAAATCTGTACAATTTTCTATTTACTTACAGCTAATATATACATTTATACTTTACTTACTTTAGGGGTTCTAATGCTGAAACAAAATTGTGAATGTCTTCAAATGGTAGGGGCAATCTCTGTATTTTCCAGCTTTCCCCCCCCCCAGTTTAGGTATATGTCAAGGCATTCTTAATAGAAATGCCTTTTGCAATCTTAATAACCTTTTCGCGGTGGCGTGCTTTTGTTTAAAAAGCTTGTGCGGGACAGAAGGGAATCGAAGGCAGTCACCATACAGGAGGGAGGTTTTGCATCGCCACGCCTAATTTTATACAAAAAAATCAGGAAAAAAAAGTTTCACTTCTAGCATCATAATTTTTAGTATCATTTTAGATTATTACTTGAGTTCTTATATATCTTAAAATTAGTAGTTAATAACTTTTTTTTTTTTTTTTTTTTTTTTTTTTTTCTTTATTATACATGAAAATATACTTTAAAAATTGCTTATCTTGTAAAATAATTTTAGCAAGCGCTATTTAAATTATTCCAAAGTTTTAATTGATAAAATCCATCAATAAAGTTTAAAATTAATAAAACAATGCAATAAAGACTATTTACAGTAAGAAGTAACAAAATTTTAAATGAAAAGTGAGTGTGGTAAATCTCGAAGCACAGAGAAGTATCACTTTCTAACTTTTTAGAAAATGAATCATCACTCTCATTTGCATTAGTAAATGGCTCGCTAACCATACGAAGGTACTCTTTCTCTGATAAATAGCGCCTTTCCACCGTAATAGACTGGAGGTGAGGTTTTCCTGAATAAAAAGAGATGAAACGGTTATATATCTGAAGGCAATGCAAAACGTAAAAGAACTCCACACAGTAGCCCTAAGACCATACATTGTAGAGGAAAAAATAGAATAAACAAAGGAATTGGATATAAATCAGACACGAGAATGTTTTCATTAGCACGCAGCGATTTAAAGAGCCCACCTCTGTTTACGCTTTCCCTCCCCACCCCCACCCTCGCAACAGCAGATGAGTAAATATCAAAGTCAAGCAATATATATCAAACTCTAGGTCAGGAACCTAAACCTGTATTCATTTCAAAAGTAATGGACATAGGATGCCATCTAGTGGCCTTCAGAAAAATGTTCCAGCTTAAAATGCGTATACGCATCACCTGTCCTCTGAATGCAATCTCTAGTGATGCGTGGATGGGACACCCAGCTGTAAGAAACATTCTTAGGGAATGCGTATATGGGACGCCCATCTTGAAAGGGTTAATGAACATTGGTCTAAAATTTTCTGTGTGGAAAAAAAAAAAAAAATATTGTGTCATAGTAAATGAGTACAAATGTTAAATTACCCAGCACAGCCATTTAAGAAAGTTTTCAAGAATGACAATGTTTAATTTTTTTTAAATGATAGTTCTGACTGATTGTAATAGCAATAAATATTAGAAACATACTATAAAATTTCATAAAAATAAATGAAGAAAGATCTTTTGTAAAAAATTTTGGCTTTACTCTAACATTTGAATTTATTTCAGGTTCAGAAACTTGTTGATGAGAAATTGAAATGGCTTCAACAGCAAATGGAAAGTTTAAAAGAGCTTAAAACACATGAAAATCCTCCTGTCTTAACTGAACATATAAATGCTGAGAAAGAGGTATGTCTTTTTAAGGTTTTACAGTGTACAGATTCTTTTCAATTTTAATATAAAGAGATTTTTGATTTCAGTAAAATGCAGCCATAAAATTAATTTCACTTTTTTATCTTTTTCTAACTAGAAATTGAAGCAAGCAATTTATCCCATTTTCAACAAACGAAAACCAAAAGCTGAAAATCCCAATACCAAGTGTCAGAAACCTCAGTCCAGTAATAATTGTTGATATTGTATATTTGTAAATTATCACATTTATTTATTTCATTATGTAACATAATTATGAGTAGAGTAATTACAGAAATGTGTAATTTCAGATTTAGTTGATTTTCTAACTTACCACTTCATTGTTATCCATGTTGCAATAATTCACAAGAGATCTGTTTTTCTTTGTAAATTTATATACAGTAGAGCATTTCATGTTTTGTTTCAATTTACTGTGATCTTTATTTGTTAGAAACTCATGTTTGGAAATTAGATTTTATAAAAAGAGACTGTGTTGTAGAGTGTGATTTAATGTGATTTTGCTTTGCAACAATCATTTCAATAACTTCATTGTATTAAATGTAATTTTTAGCTTTATGTATTTATTATTTTGTTTAATATTTTTGGCCATCTAATTTTTGTGAATGAACCTTATCAACGCACACATAATACTGAAAGATAGAAGAAAATGAATATCATATTGGCTTAAATGTAAGATAAAGTCTTTCCCTTAAAACATCCTTCTGAAAACCTTAGTCATTGTGTATATCTGCATTCCAGATTTAAAAAATTTCTTAATTATTCATTTATTATTTAATTTTTATACTAAAGAAAAAGAAAAGTATATACAGTACAAAGTCCATATTTGGGACTTTGGCGGTTCCAGATTAGAGATCATCAGTTTAAACCTGGTAAGATGGCATGCAGAAATTATACAGTTAAAAATATGAAACCATAATTTATGAAATAAAGAGCAATTATAATCTAAAGTATATCAAAATTTACAAAAAAAAAAAAGCTTAATATTTATGTGTTTGATTTATTAAACATTTCTTTCAATGTAAGTTGTTTAAGTTGCTTCGTTTTTTGTGCTAATACTTTCTCTTTAATTCTATAAACAGACATAATTTCTTGTTCAGTTACAAAGTACCACTGTTCAAGTCCTGTAATTGCTGTGTCGAGAATACCGAATAATTTACCAATCGAAATTTTTTCTTTTTCAATAACCTCTCTGTCACTTTCTTCACTATCGGAAGCAGTATTTTCTGGATCTAGAACCATACTACAGTTTTCGCCATTCGTTAATTGATTGATGATTAGGGCATTGTCGTCACAATGAAAAACATGCTCTCGCTTTGTAGATCCTTTAGCAGCTCCAGAATTGGAATCTTTTTTTTGACATAATCGAAAGTTCAAACTTAATTTTTATAAAATTGCTCTAACAGGCTGCAAAAAATAATAAGCTTGATCCAATTAGAAGATTAAGGAACAGCGCAATCTGCAACATTAACTGAAATGCCTTAGAATCAGCAAAGATAATTTTAGCCTAGCTTATGCTGTCTGTTATACATTAAACATGCATGCGTAAGGCATATAAAAAAAAAAAAGTTTGTGGCTTTGAGGTCCGGATTATAGATCATTCTGGATAATGGACGTCTGTATTACGGACTTCGTACTGTATTTAAGTTTTCCTGAAGGTGTGGTATTTCAAGTTAAATATTTTGCAGAAAATTTTCAACATATTCAGCTCATGTATGTGAGGCTATTTTAATGCAAACCACTTATCCTTCCCCGTTAAACACTTTAATTATAAGATCATCTTACTTATTAGGCTATTATATATTTGAGCCAGTATGATAATTGTAATCTGAATTTAGTTTTAAATCAGCATATGGAATATTTTGCTGCTTTTATACAAATTTGCATAAGCTTTGAAGTTGTGAGTTTTTAACCTTATAGGAGTTTTTTTACGTTTTTACACTTTTCATTTATTTTGATTAGTTTTTAAAAGTTTATGGTTGTTTTCATACGTGTATTTTAAGCCAGTAAAAATGAAGATATTAAGATCTTTTATTACTTGTTCAATAAATTAGAACAAAAAATATCACATTTATATATTTGGATGCATACATATATAAAAATACTTATCCAAAAATTGGTTAGGAGGAGAGTGTCGTTTTTATAGAGTTAGAATGGGTGAAACAAGTTTGGTTTCCAGTTTAAAACTGTGTTAGGCTGTTGAAATACAAATTAAGGAGATTTGTAAAAAAAAAAAAAAAAAAGAAAAGAAAAGAAAAAAAATTATCCTGATTAAATGAAGATACTTTTTTGTTTCAGTATAATGAAATTTCAATAATAGGTATGAAATATTTTTAAATTTGAAAACTATTCAAGTCAAAGGTAACAAAGTCTGGCTACTTACGTGCAAGTATAACCAATGTAGACCAGTTTGGCAGTTTTTTGCAGAGGAAGAAAATTATGACTTAAATTTGAAAATTATTATTAATTACATGCATATGTATTATTGCATATTGCTATTATGCATATTGTAATTTGTCCTGAAAATGAGTCAATAATTTTTGTTTCATTTAATTTCTCCCCCCCAATAGAAATTTTGCAGGAGTAGATTTCTGATTTGACAGTAGGGAAATCATCTTTTGGGAATAGTATTATGTGAACAGAAAAATTGTAAAATTTGCATGTTTTCATTATCTAAATTTTATAGGAAGAAAAAGAAAAATTAAATTATAATTTTTTAATTTAATGCTTACGTTTGAAACCAGTAAAATTAATATTTTTTATTATCTCTTCAGTCAAGTGAAACAAGAAATATCAAATTTATTTGTGTAAATGTAATATTTATATGAAAGATTTATCCAAAGATGCGAGTGATATCACTTATAGAGTTGAAAAGAGGTATTTATGATTTATAAAAAAGTATTAAGTACCGTATTTGACGGCATATAAGACGCACCCTTATTTAGAAGGCCACACACAAGGCAAAAAGTTTCAATATTCCACGCGACAGCGCAGTACCAGAATAACTTAAAATGTGTTTTCTTTTAGTTCTCACGTTTCATAATGAAATGCTAGTATTTTTTCTTCATAATCTGCTGGCATTTTCTGTGCAATAGTTGTTTTTGTGCACATTGATAAGCCTTGCCTTTTCATGAACCTGTAGCACCAGCCCTCAGACCCTGAAAAGTTCTGATTCCCATGTTTTTCTGCAAATTTTTGGCCTCATTGATTATCATTGTGGTTGAAACACTTTATCCCAGATTTCCTCTTATCTATCACCCACATTTTTACGGCATTTTCAAGTTCAGGCCAAGATGGAGCTGGGCATCAAAGGTTATGTTTTTGTTTTTTTTAGCACGTTCAGTTGATCTTCTTGCAGTCGCCAAGTACGTATCATTTTTTCGGTAGGTGGTAAACCGAAATGCCTTGCTGCTGCTGTGTTTCCATGCACTTTGGCATAGTTTAACACTCTTAGTTTATACTGAATTGTATAGCTTAATATCTTGTTTCCTGTAGTCATATTTTCCAGGGTATTTTTTTAAAACAAATGCTTTTAAGCACAGATACTGACACGTTTATACAGAGTAGCACCGATACCGACACGTGTGTTGACTGAGTCAAAGAAAGTCTATGTAAAGAAGGAAAGATTCTATAGATGTAATGTGACTGTCGAACCTGTTTGAATTTCGACATCAGCTTCGCGCTTTTGAGCGACAGATCTTTCACGCATGCGCAAAATAATTATGGCAGATGTAGAAAAAGTTATCTGTGTCTAGACCTTTATCCGGGCTAAAAATAGCATTCAGTATTGAAAGTTAACCTGTGTCCTTCACATATAAGACGCAGGTAACTTTTCTTAGACCAAATTTAGGAAAAGAAGTGCATCTTATAAGCCGTCAAATACGGTAATCAAAATGCAGGTTAGGAGTTTTCTGATCAAGAGACTTAATTTTTTTAGCTGAGTAGAGAAATATTTTGTTTTAAAATAAAAAATATTTTTTAAAATATATTCTGAAATGAATGCTAAAAAGCTTAAGTTTTTAAATTTATAATTTGTGTAATTGATTTAAAGTTTTAGATTTATATTTTAAAAATTAATTGCAACTTATACATTTGCTTGAGGGAAAAGCATAGTGTTGTATAGTATTGTATCAGAATGAATAAAATCAAATAATCTTGAATTTTTCTCTTGTCTCTGTTTACATAACTTTCATTGATTTATCTAAAATTTTTGAATGATTAGAAACCTTATCATTTTAGCCATAATTTATTCATTTTATCGTCATATAATGCTGAATCGGTGATCTCATCCCTTCTTTGATTGCCTGTTCTCCTAGATGTTGGAGATTCCCTTAATTCTTATCAAGATTTGTTTTTATGTTGCTAATCTTGCTTCAGGCCTCTGAGTTGCATGACTTTTTGACCTTATGGGGAAGAACTGTATTTATAAATGGCATTTGTTAGCTAAATTTGTATAACTGTATTTTACTGTTTGTTTTCATTAGTGCCCATTCATTATGATGATATTTAGATTATTAAAGTGAATAAGAAAACAAAATACTTTAAGCAATAAGTTAACATATACAGAAAAAACTCATGGCCAGATAAAAGCAGTCATGCCACTAAAAGGGTTAACATGCAGATACTAATAAATTTCTCTTTTTCCTCATCTAGAAAATAATAGAAGAATGTCTAGTAATTTTTTTCCCAAATAATCATTTGTTCAGTGTAGAAATATACAGCTAAAATTCACATGAAATCTTTAATTTTTGACTTTTATAATGCTTTGATATTGTTAAGTTACCAAAATAGTGTAGAGCACTGCAATTGGTTTGAAATTAGGATACAAAATCATACCTTGCTGAGTTTCTTTATTTGTTTTTAATATGTAGGTAAATAAATTTTTAAGTTTGCGTAAGTAAGCAAAAAGGAGTTTTAGTATAATCTAAGTTTTTCTCTTCCAGAGTTCATTGACAATTCATAAAGATGTGTAAACATGAGAGTAATAGCAGTAATAATGTGTATTTATTTACTGCTGTGTGGTATTAGCAGATGCTTCAATATTTGCTTTCTTTGCTGTAATCAAATAAACAAAACCAAATTGGCATACATTTTGCTTTTTATCACATGTTTTTATATTATTACTGCTAGTTTTACATTTACATATATTTATGAGTTTTCAATCAGCTCTGTGGAGGGGTGGACTATATTCATAAATACTTTTGTATGGCTTTAATAAGGGAGCTAGAAAATGTTGTTAACTGTGTAATCTTACTGCACTTTTATGTGCATTTTAAATTAAGCTCTGTATTAAAATTTGTATTCCTCCCCTATATTATATGTACATGCGTGCATAAATAGATTAGGGATTGTTGTGCTAATTACAATTCTGCTAATGATAGCACAGCTCAAGACAATGCAAAATTTGTCAAACCAATCAACATTGAAACTATACTGTTGTGGCTTACTTATCTCTTTTTGCTATTAGAATCATTTTCAGTAGAATACTCCCAAAATTTTTTTATAATTATGCTACTTACCCTTTCCATTATGTTTTATCTTATGGTACTGTACATTTACCATGCACAATATATTAAGAATTGCCAATGTGTGACAGATGGTGTTTATTCATTTTCTGTGAAATCTAACAAAATGGTTTCCAGAGTGTTGCCATTCAATGAAATATCTTGAATTATATTTTAGGAGTACAATTACTTAACAAATGCAATTTAAATGTGATAAATGCTCTTCTTGAAAATTTAAATCTTTATTTTTATTAATATATGATTGATATAATTTAAAATACATATATTTTGTAATATGTACTTATGCTATTTTTATGAGAATTTCTAACATTATCTTCTTCTTCTCAATTGTGGGCACTTCCTTGTAATGGAATTGGCCACTAGTAAGGTCAGAAGTGGTGGCGATTTTAATGTGGAGGCACCTAAGAAGCAGCCACCGTTACCTCCTATGAAGGGACAGACAATTTTACAC